CTGGAGACGGCCCACACTATTAACACAGACTCTCTAGATATTGCAGGTACATTCTTAAAAAAAGTTAAGGAAAACTCAAAATTCATAGGATTTTTCGTCGAAAACATGAGATTGCACATATCAGTTTGCTATAAATAAACTTATTCAAAAGTTATTCTGCATCATCGTATCTCGCATCAGTGAAGTTCCGTTGGCAGCCTACTTGGTCAGGCCAAAACTCACTGTTCTGTAGTGCAAGCTATAGGGGGGAACCGGGCTGTTAAGCTTTTTTTCAAAATAGCCGTCCACGAATACAATGTGATAGTGCAAGAAACAAATGAAAGCATAGGTGTCTTCTTCTATCTGGGATTCAAAAACAACAGCCGGGTGAATCCTCCTTTATATCATGGATGTATCTTGACTCGTTTGAAAACACCAGTGAAAGCACAAATTGCGAGACTAACAGGGATAGACAGCTACGCTGCAGAAAAAAAAACATTTTGACGCCTGCCCCAGCAAAATAGGCCGCGAGTTTCTAGAAGAAATGCAGTCATCGAGGCTTGCATCAATAAGCATAACGCATGCATACTTTTCAGGGACTAACGTAGGGGGACGGGAAAGCCGATTGCAAAGAAAGTCTATTGGCACAAAATTCAACCAACCACGACAGCGTTTGTCTGACACTATTTGTACGTCGGTCATACGTCTGGTGAACTGGGCAGTCACTTTTGAGTGTTTGCCTAAAAAGCACTCTTTCATTCTCCGAGAATTTCATCTGTTTGTAATTAAATTTCTCTTGATGTCTGTTTGTAACCGCCGCCACCGATTCGGAATTTTGTTTGCCTCGGGAAGCCAATGAATCTGTGTGCGCCCATCCCTGTAGTACTATGTGCCCCATTTGCAGCAACGGTTGATGCCAGGTGGCGAAGCTCTTACGAGCTGGGGTTCAGTGCAGTGCTTATCTGATAAATCTATCCCGTATTCCATCTGCATGGCGTGCGTGCGCATGTGTGTACCGAAGGGGACAGGTGGGACTGGACTGGCCAATTGTGGCTAATTAGGCGTCCGTGGTCTTCTCTGCATCGTGAGTAGCCACTGTGGGACAGCCTGTTAGGACTCTAGATCGAACCCCAAGGCGCATCGAATCAAACAAACAAACAAATGCAAAACCATCAATTCAATGCCGATGGGGTTGTGGCAATCAAGGATATTTGATCGATTATGACCACACACTTTAAGCTTCGTCCCGTCTACTAAAAGTTAGCGGTTCAATTTCATATGCAGGGCAGATTGTCGTGACTTGGTGGTTTGTGTGTGGGCCAGAACAGCAGGACGTCCATCCGTCAACGCATGAGTCGGAGTGATTTGTGTATGAATCTCTGACACGCCCGTACCAGTATGATAAGGTGAATAATTGGCCTGTGAGCTAACTCGAGTAGGCCTGATGATGAAGCACTATAGTATACGAGCTGTCTCAGCCGATACGCGTGAAATGGCGCCTGTTTGTGGGCGCTGTCGTAACTGAGCTCAGTTGGACAAGAGGTGCCTCAGGTGAACCCTGGGGCGATTGTGCGTTAGCACTACACTCACCGGGGATCTCGGCTATCAGGCATGGACGACTGTTGCTGTGGGTTGGCTCCTACAAGTTGTA